CAGAAAACAGCTTAATTCAGAAACGATTTAAGTTTAAAATTGAATCGATATTTTTACTTTTTTTATGATAAATTTTATGCACTTGGCTCTAGGCTAGGTGATCCCACACTACGTCTTTACTTTAGACTTATTATATCAACACTCACTACACTTGTTAGGTTCCATGGCACCCTTGCACTCCTGTCACTAAAATCGTAATGGGCAGACATTAATTGAAATATTATATCTGGATAAATGCATTTTGGCTTTTATGACTCCTCCTATTTCGAGAAAAAAGGCGCGATGTGGCACACGCTAGCTTTTATATAACCTACATCTGAACATTATGTTTAGTAAAAACACTCTTTTTAATCATTGTATCTGGAGTAGTATTTACATACACAAACAAGATCTAAAATTGTTCATTGTAAATCATTTGTTTTTGTACTGTTTGAGAGACAGCATAAAATTGCAAGACAGCAAAAAAAGAAATTGATTGAAAAACTTCAACATTAAATATTTTTGACTGCACATCTAATTTAAAGATTTTTTTTATTTTATATGCAAAGTAAGATTTATTTGTTAATGGTACACATTTGTACTTATGCTGAAGCTATCCCTAATTTTGAACGACTGACCGTAAGGAGGGAAGCCAGTCAGCAGCATCCTATTATCCAACATTCATGCTGAGGTATTGACTGTCAGTCTAATGTACCCACAGCTTAAAGTGTAGGGAACGTTTTGTGGTATCACATAGGTTCGAAGCCGGCTCACAAGCTCCAAAACCCAGAGCTCTACCAAAGAGCTAACCCATTTCCCCAGGAATGGTAAATTAGTAAGTTAGGCTACTGTTTTAACGAGTGATACAGTTATAAATGTTGTCCTTCTATAACTGGTATTACTAAAGAATAGAACTTTATTCAGGTACAAAAAATTTATTTTTTCTAAATTTCATTGTAACATATGCATGTAGTTATGACACTTTCATTGACCAGGTGTCTCAATTAAGGCTTTAAAAGTGTGTTAATCCTCCTACACAGGTAAAAGCTATATACTGTAACCTTTGTTCTTAAGCCTTATGAAAGGTAGCCTATTCAAACAGACAATACAAAAACCTGTAGAACTAACTGGCTTGGCTTAAAGTTGCATGCAGACCACTGGTTAAAGCATATAACCTATGTACTTGTAGGATACCTGATATTGTTTTGCCAGGGTATTTAAATCAGATATTTTCGACGTTCTGTCTCTTGGCTTTGCCCTCTTGATTTTCTCAACCCCAGTAGTAAGACAACACACAAGAAAAAGCCTGGTCAGTTTTACAAACAGAACAATGTGTTTCTTAATAAAAAATTGTGTGTTTAAAAGTACACTTGTGTTGGCTTCTTTTCTTTTACTCTCCACGTTCATGTGTGTTTTAAAAGTACATTTGTGTTGGCTTCTTTTCCTTTACTGTCCACGTTCATGTGTGTTTTAAAAGTACACTTGTGTTGGCTTCTTTTCCTTTACTGTCCACGTTCATGTGTGTTTTAAAAGTACATTTGTGTTGGCTTCTTTTCCTTTACTGTCCACGTTCAACTTATTCTTTGTTTAACAATTCTGAAAATATAATTTGGGAAAAACTTTTGACTTTTCTGCTGAATATCAGTATACCTGAACAACATACTATGTTATAACTTTGTCCTTATTAAGGTTTAATTAGTGAGATAGATTAGGTTAGGTTAAGGCTTAATTTGTGAGATAGGTTACTGTTGTAAGCTCAAGTCAAAAGAAGAACCCCCTAGGAGTTCATGTAATTAAAACTAGAACAGCTGAGTGAAACTAAGCTAGGTGGGCAATCAATATTGCAAATGTTTTTAGCCACTTGAATTTATTTGTGGAACCTACTAAAATTAACTTTTTACAGCTTATGGTATACCTTCAATAAATTGAGTTAATTTGTTCAATACAATGTTGTAAGTCCTCAAAAATGATCAAAAAAAAAAATTCAAGATTACTATTACTTAAACTTACATTTTCATAAAGTTATATAATTTACAGTATACCCATATAATTAACCCATATATATTCATAGCTAAAGCCTTGGTGCAAGTCTATCCGAGTGATTAAACAATTAGAAATTTATTCAGTGATCCCTATTCTCTGATACTTCATGTTTACCTATGTAACAAATACTTACCCACCCCCAACTCTTAAAACTGAAAAAAACCATTTCAAAACATATCCCATAAAGCTTCAAATGAGCAAATGGCTTTCTCCGTTTTGCACCCATGATTTTGAAAATGTTCATAAATTACTAAGTTTTAGTATTTTTCATGGGTTCTTCAAGCATATCTGGATTAATTTATCGATATAAAAAATAAACCCATACTTTTTGTCCATCTGCTCCAGAAATTCCTGGAAGTCCTCTTTGACCTATAAGTCCAGGAGATCCAGATGGTCCCTCTGGACCGCCTGGACCAGGCATACCTTTTTCTCCCTTATCTCCTTTTGGCCCTATAAATGTGTACAAGATTAAACACTCATACCATAGTAAAATGTTTCCAACTTCTAACGGGACTTTTATAATGATGTACATCTTTAATAATATAAAAAAAAACACTTGACATTTCCCCTAAACATCTCTCAGTGTTATACTTTTGAGCTTAGAAAGTCTATAAAAGAAAAGCTAGAATTGTTAAAGTTCTTAAAATATAAAACTCTCTTAAAATTGTGAGAAGCAACTAGAAATTTTTAAATACCTATGACGGGCTCTGTTTGATTGATAAAGTCACTTGAAACACTTTTAATACAAGTTCAGAAATCCAAGTTCATGTATATAACGACACAAAAAAACAAAGTATGAAAGAAGTTTCCCAAACTTCAAACATTGAATAAAATTTACATAAATAATCAATTCATTATCTTAATAAACATCTTTATAATATGCAGCAATGTCGTTAAAACAATTTTACAGTGACATCTGGTGTCACTGAGGAATAATAAATCACTTTTTATATTTAGATCAATAAGGATGGAATTACCTGGAATAATGTCGTTAAAACAATTTTACAGTGACATCTGGTGTCACTGAGGAATAATAAATCACTTTTTATATTTAGACCAAAGAGGATGGAATTACCTGGAATATATTTCACAGCTAGACTGTTGTCCTCAAATCCGATTCCGTTTCCAAAGTCCTGCAAGGTGATGTTTACAAAGTTGATTATTCACTGATATTTTAATCATGCATACCAATATGTCTAACCTTAAACTGTCTGAACTATTAGTTATATATTTTACAGCTAAACAATGTAAATGTATTAGTATTTATTTTCAGTTTGTATTTCTTACATTGCTGCCTTCATCACTAATATTAATGTTTTTATTGTATTCATTCGTCAGTTTTTTCCCTACTCTTACAATATAATGTATTAGTATTTATTTTCAGTGTGTATTTCTTACGTTGCCTTTGTCACTAATATTAATGTTTTTATTGTATTCATTATTCAATTTTTTTTCCAAACTCCTACAAGATAATGTATTAGTATTTATTTTCAGTTTGTATTTCTTATGTTGCCTTCGTCACTAATATTAATGTTTTTATTGTATTCATTAGTCAGTTTTTTTCCCAACTCCAACAAGATAATGTATTAGTATTTATTTATAGTTTCTATTTCTTACATTGCTGCCTTTGTCACTAATATTAATGTTTTTATTGTATTCATTAGTCAGTTTTTTTCCCAACTCCAACAAGATAATGTATTAGTATTTATTTATAGTTTCTATTTCTTACATTGCTGCCTTTGTCACTAATATTAATGTTTTTATTGTATGTACCTGATTTTTCACTCAAATTTTGATAACATTTATTCTTATGTACATTTAATTTTTTGAAAGATGTTAATTACTTTATTTTAAATGTAAAAGTGATAATAGCTGTTCTAATAATTTGGAAAATAGCATAAAAATAAAGTTTCAGAAACCTGATACTGATAACTGTTTTGCTAACACAATAGGATATTAAATTTATAAAAAATCTAACAAAAAATGTAGACTGTAAGATTAAACAAATAAAAAAGCGGCAGGATTATAATACAAATTCTGAAATTTTCACTCTCAAGAAATATCTTATGATTAAATAATTATAATTAAACAAATGCTCTTAAGAATTGACCATAATTTCCTTCGATCAAACAATGTGATTATATGGTCAAACAACAAGTTTGATTAGTTCTGGATAGCCCCCCAGTGGCACGGCGGTATGTCTGCGGACTTACAATGCTAGAATCCGGGTTTCGATACCAGTGGTGGGCAGAACACAGATGGCCCATTGTGTAGCTTTGTGCTTAATTACAAATAAACAAAAGTTCTGGATATAACAACATAGCAACTGTAACATTTTACATTAGTTTGAGATTCAGAATTAGATACTTAGATCTATAGCTAATCTATCATGGACAATCATGATCTGCATTAGTAGACACGTTTAGACAGGTCGATGAACTTATCTCTATTTAAAATCGTTTTGAATTTAATCATAATATATTTAAGTTAATGTATGGACATTAACTATCAAATTACCAACTATTCACTACTGGTAGAATCCACTTATTACATCATATATTCAGTAATTCTATCACAATGCTCAGTATAAATAATTCGCCAAAATAATTGGAAGTCACTCATTTTCTATATAAAACCTATAGGAAATTATAGCAGCTGGTAATTAGAGGAATTAATTCCAATATTGATGGTATTTTTGTTTAGATTGCTGTATGTTTGACTCAAATGTTATTTGGAATCTTGTAACTAACATGATCATGGCTCGACAAGCAAGTTAACACACATAATAATAACAACCATCAAACTATAATTCCTGCATTCTAAATTGTGATTGATGTATTAGGATATATTTTCAGTTTGTAGTTTTTATGTTGCATTATTGTTCACTAAAATTAATGTTTTGATTGTATTCAGTTTACTTGACAGTTTATGTGTGTTAATTTTTTATACTGCTCCCTCCCAAATATTAAGATTTTACATTATCTGTACTTATATATCAATATATTTTGTTTTTAGATTCTGATTATGAGGACAGAACAAAACATTAGATGAGTCATATACATTCATGATGTTAGAAAAACACGTAGGTTCAAGAAGTCTTGAGGGAAATCAATAAAAACCCTATAACCCCCAGTGCTTTTCGAAAGGTGGACCTTTCTTCTTCAGGGACAAACAGTTTGCCTCTGAAGAAGAAAGGTCCACCCTTCGTAAGCACTCGGGTTATAGGGTTTTCATCATGAGTCATATACATAAATTATTTTTCATACTTTCAACCATCTTCATCTTCATTATTCAGCATGTATTATAAATATGAGTGAGTGACAGTTTTAAAATTAAGTTTCTTGGTAATTATTTCATTATAATCTGGTTAAAATGTCTGTCTTTTATGTATACATCTCTGTTACACAAATTTTGGAAGACAAAATTACAGGCACTCACATCTTCCCCAAATGTTCCAACATATCTTGCTGGTCCTGGTGGACCAGGTGGTCCAATCTCTCCTTTATCTCCTTTTGGACCAAACCCAGGGTCTCCTTTATGTCCAGGAGGCCCAGGTAAACCAGGTCTTCCCTGAAATAGAATTTTTTGTTTTATAAAACTTTTCTAAAAATTGCTGGTACAAACATTTAATACAGTCTAAAAAAATACACTTGACTGCAGTTCCATACAGTATTTGGCCTGAAAAGACAGATCTTTCATTTTCTCTTTAGCTCTGAACTATTTGTTCTTTTGATGATTATTTAATCTGTGGTTGTTTTTTTTTCCTCAGTTTTATATATTCCATATAATTAAGTGATGGCATTATCCACTTGTAGTAGGCAGTAATATTCAAATACTGGAAATCAAGCCTAAAGAAATACAAGTAGCAGCTCATTTTGATGAAGACCATAGTTGGAACTGCTTAGAGACAACTACAACACTGCTGAGTAGGTAAACTACACCAGATAATTAGTGCTATCTACAAACATGTCAATCAGAAATCACCATTACATGGCCTATAGTCTCAATATAGACTTCGGAATGACACTGCACAACTCATTTTGAATTTTGTCACAACCACAAGAAGCGATAGTAATAGCAATAGGCACCTGTAGTCTTCACAGATCAACCAAAGATTCATGTCTCTACCAATGATTGATGAATTTGTCTCTGGAGAGCCAGAAACACACACTGAGTAACACACTCCACACAACAATGCTGAATATGACCATTTCTGTTGGAGGTAGCAGCATAAATAAATTTACAAATCATACTATGCTTCTGAAAGACAGATTTTCCACTGGACTAGAAACTGATGGTGCCATATTTGTATGACCTTTCAAATATAAGTATAATTTTGATAGAATTTTCCCTAAGGTAGGATTATACTGCCAGAAGTTTGACAGACTATCTTGAACAAGAAATAATATAAACTACAGTTTGGCTAGCAAAAGGTCCAGATATAAATTCCATGGAACACCTCTGACACCATCTTGGACACCATAATGCTGATTGGACAATATTCCCTATATAGCATTGTTCACTGACTAATCAGCAGAGGCATATTCTTCGTTCAGTACCCCATGAACTCCTAGTCTGTGTTGAGTATTTCCTTTGCACAAATAATGCTCTCTCTCTCTCTTACAAGTTGATTCTGTCAGAACCTAGGAAGTAGAATATTCATGTAGAACACAATGTAAATATCTTGCTAGTTCTAAAAATTACTCTAATTTATTTCCATATAAGATTTTAAAGTAACTTATATTCATAGTAAACCATACTATTATAAGGTTTAGTAAAGCCATACAAGTCTATTGTCCAAGGTAATACAAAGATTGATGACATTATATATCAAAATTATTTTGGAGTCTCATAGCGTCATTAAAGCCCATGTCATCATGTCCAGTCATGCTCTGATGACCATGCATCTTGAAAATAGACCTGCTGTGTAGTTTCCATTGTAAAAGATTAAATCATAAGGCTCTCGTGTCAAAATAACACCACTTCTCCCTGCAGGCCTCCCACAATCCAGCTACTGTATGTGGATTATAATTCCCATCACCCATTTCCCCAGTCTGATAACTTGTGTATGCGATTTGATTCACTTTTCTCAAATTAGACTCTTTTTTGATAGTAATGCTACTGTTTGGCAAGGGCATGTGGAAAGTTTTTGCCACTGATTTTGTGCTCATAGATACCCATCTGTTACAAGACACTGCACTTTTTTTATCACCTTTGGTATATGACTTGTTGCAGGTCTCTTTCTGGATGGTCCTGGTGCCTCAAGTTGATCCCTATTCCTTTGATTGCCAAGGCTAGTTATTAAATACAATAGATATTCTCATCTGGGAAGTCTTAAATCCTCAATCACAACACATTATCGTTACCTGAATATATGAAATTCTGCATCACAAAATGCTGGTACATACTCTTCCCAAAATAGATCGAGTTTCGTTGTCATCACTATCTACAAAATGCTAAACAGTATCAAAATGTAATTTGTAATTCTGATACATTCCACCGAGACTTTATATTGGCTGTCATTGTCACATAGCTTTTCTGACTTACATACTAAAAATAATTAAAATATACTGTAATCAACCCACCATGCAATCTATTCACCAATGAATATTCATTGTCACATAGCTTTTCTGACTTACATACTAAAAATAATTAAAATATACTGTAATCAACCCACCATGCAATCTATTCACCAATGAAGCGAAGCCACACTAGCTAATATACAGCTCAATAAAGTGAGAACATTAAGCAATATTCACCAATTAAATGAGGCTATGCTAGTTTATCTATTAATGGAAAAACAATATAAAATTTGATAAAATTGTCAGTAACTACTCTTTGAAAATGAAAAAAAAACAAGTATACTCATAATCTAATATCAACTTACAGGAAATCCAGGAAATCCTATTTCTCCTTTTGGTCCTTGTTTTCCTGGTGGACCTCGAGGGCCACGTTTTCCTCTTTTCCCACGCCGACCACGTTTCCCTCTATCACCCTTTTCCCCCTAATTGATAAGAAAATATTTCATTTTGTTAATTATTTTATTTTCAGTTATTGTGAGCCCAAAAAAAGGGACTAAATTTTAACCATCAAGATTAGCACTTAAGGTCTACCCTATTATAGTTATTATTCTTGTCATTTTGTAAACGATAGGAATTCAGAGTTGGACAGTAAGAACAATCAGTGAAACAACATTAGTTTAAACTCTTCGTTCTAGTTATCAACTTCAACTTGTCACTATCACCTAACTCCTTTTTTATTTGTTAACTTACAGTAGGTGCATGACTCCAGCCTAAAATTATAAAATCCTTTAATTTTGCCTCTTAATTTTACACTTTAGTAGGTTTTCGCACTTAAGACACATGGTTAATTCGTTATCAAGGCTATCAATACACTGTTTATCAATACTTCAGGGTTTAATAGATTCATAAAGAAACCTAAAGCGAAGTCCTACAGCCAGTTGACGATATACACCTGATAAATTTGTTTATTTGTTATTAAGCACGAAGCCACACAACAGGTTATCTGTACTGTGACCTGCACAGGCTTCAAACACAGTTTTTAGTGTTACAAGCCTTCAGATTTACTGCTGAGCCACTGGGGGACCTTCCATCTGATCTTATGTTCATGTTCTTACAGATTATGTGATTGAAGATGTTCATTAAAATTTACCAGAAAGTTGTGTACTTTTACATCATCATTGATTCATGCAGTGCTGATTTTAATCTTTGTGCCTCTGAGATATTTACTATACATCCTATGTTACATTGTTAGCAAGTGTATTTTTCTTACATGTATATGATATTATTTATATAAAAATTAAAGATATCTAGCTATTATATTCTTTGAATTCCAAAATATAGAAGTCCTAGTTTTTCTGAACTTTAGATTACGACTATTTCCCACTCACAATCACTTTGACTACACCATCCACTGTTACAACTTTGGCTATTCCAGGAGGTCCAGGAGGCCCTTCAAGACCGGGTTCTCCACTGAGACCCACTGGTCCAGGCTCTCCAGGATATCCTCTTGGACCTGGTTCACCCTGAAAAAGATGAAATATCTTGAGATCAGAATGGTTTGAACATAATTACAATGAAAGTTCTTTCCATGTTTTTCAACTCATACCATAAATATAAATAATTAGGACAACAATGTTGTACACCCACACATAACAAAAATGAAAAAAAATAGCTAGCACCCTTTTCAATAAAATTAATTTATGAAAGTAAGTGATGAAATAGCAAGAAAAAGACATGGCCAGAAAAAAATATCATTAATGTTCACACAAATATAGATATACATATAATAAAGAGAGATTAATCCGTTAACTGGAGCTGGGATGTATATTTCCCAGTGCTCCCACCCCTTCACATTGTGGCTGAGTGGAAAACATTGAGAGAAACATTAGGTGGGATGCCAATAAATAATTATCAAGTCATTTTACTCTCATACGTCATGTGTGGCAATTTTAAATGATAATCGGAAACATTTCTCCCAGTCACAGTCAGTGGGTGGGAGCACTGGGAAATATATGTTCCAACCACAATGAAAGGGTTAAAGCAATGTCTAAATAAACAGTTCATAACTTGATGAGTTATGAAACCCTTTATGAGCTAAACATTTCTAGTATTATAAGCAAAACAGTGAGTTTCAGTTTTTCAAAATAAAATTCAACTTTAATTGAGGAAATAGAAGTAATTTTCAAATCTTATGAAGCATAATTATATTTACACATGAAACTTAGCATACTTAAGTTCGAGAGTCAGCTCGTAACACTATCATACAATGAATGTTTCATGAAAAGAGTTTAAATCAGACTGATTAGTTATTTTCTTCAGTAATAGTTAAATGTTCTTGAATGTGCAGCAAACAAAGAAAAGCTGAATTAAGTCTGAAACATGCAAAACCTTGACATGGAACACAAATTAATACTACCTACCCCTGGAATAACTTGTATGAGCCAATCATAAGTTCCAGAAATTGAACAAAATAATTGACTGAGCAGTGACAAACATTAAGATGCAGATTCTGACTTTGTGTAATATGTTTGTTTGTTTTTTAAATTTCGCTCAAAGCTACACGAGGGCTATCTGCGCTAGCTGTCCCTAATTTACCAGTGTAAGACTAGAGGGAAGGCAGCTAGTCATCACCACCCACCACCAACTCTTGGGCTACTCTTTTACCAACAAATAGTGGGATTGACCATCACATTATAACACCCCACAGCTGAAAGGGCGAGCATGTTTGGTGTGACAGGGATTCAAACCACGTAACCACCTGGCCATGCTGGGCCTTGCGTAATATGCAAAGCAATTGTTTGATGACTATGACTGATGACAACAAATCCAAAGTTATTTGCTTGAATACATATAATACTACATAATGAAGTTCTGCATAATATCAGCAATTAAAAGTGCCAAAATTTCTAAATTCCTTAAGATTTTACAACATTTATTGTTTTAATAACTTGATTAAACTTGATGGGTGAAGATGCAGTTGTAAAAAAAAAAGGTATGAACAACTAGGTAAATAAATAGGGAGTTTATTTTAGGTGGTATAATTGTCAGGACGAGAGATATATGCTTGGGACTTGCATCTTCTTGCATATTATATACAAGACTTTTTAACTTATGAGTTATTATTTAGTTTATTTAATGAGTTAGTGATTTAATATTTAATGATAATTTAGTTTTCATAACAAGGGGTAAAATTAATTATTTTAAAAGCGATAGTTGTGACAAGTTTCTTTACGCAACTCTGTACGAGTTGTACATTGTGTATGCAGTTTGATTGTTGTACTAGGCTTTTGTAATATCGCTGACATAATCTTACTCATAGCTTCCAAGTTTTTCTCATTATAACGTTGTTGGTACTAGAGGGCTAGATAGTTCTAGATTTTTCTGTCACTTGTTATAAATACAAGCGGTTACAGGAAGTTAGAAAGAGTTAAGTTAGTGAAAGTGAAGTTAGACTGCATGATTGTTAGTTTAGTCATAAGGGGCAATATCTAAAGTGAGTTTCACAGTGGTATTTGTAACAACAGAGATAAAGAATAATAATCTGTCTTGTCAAAAGGTGTTTTAAAGTAACTGAACTCACCTGTGTGGAGTTTGATGGAAAGGAGACAATCAATTAAAGCTCTGGATACAGGGTAACGTAAGTGAATTTATCGCAGATTGTGAAGTAAGAAACAAAAGTAGAAAAAATAATTTGTCTTGTCGGTTGAATTCTAAAGTAATCGAATTAGCCCAAGTGGACTTTTGACAAGAAAAGAGAATTATTTAGAATTTTAGATATAACTGTGATATTCCATAGTGCAAAGAATTTTTGTACATACGTTTGACTTGTTTTGAATATATTATTTTAAAACAAGTGGAGAGTGTGCTGTCCATTTATTGTTGAAATTTATCACCAACTAGTTACAGACACCTACTGTAAAAAATCCACAGCCCTATAAAAACCTGACACATATTAATAGCCGAGTTCAGTTGCCATCAATCTTAAATACCAAGAATTTTGAGTTATAAAGCACAAGGTAGGCACGTTTCTAAACATTCTAATATGTTACACTGATACCTGGTGGGTAAACAATTTCTAATCTGAATAAACTGTAAATCAATCATTTGTGAACATGCTTGCCTCAGAGATGATTGTGTTGACAGACTTGAGATGCCACCTTGTGTGTGTTAGTAGCTTGAGGATAATGAATTGTGTTATAAGCTCAATAAAAAGCTTCGATTCAGTGGAGGAGATTAGCTAAACAATCAAGATGAGGGCTTTCTGTTTGGGAATTGAGTCCTAGCTGGTAGCTCAGTTGGTGGAGCATGTCTCAGGATTAATTACCATCAGAATGAGGGATTTCTGTTTGGGAATTGAGTCCTAGCTGGTGGCTCAGTTGGTGGAGCATGTCTCAGGATTAATTACAATCAGAATGAGGAATTTCTGTTTGGGAATTGAGTCCTAGCTGTTGGCTCAGTTGATGAAGCATGTCTCAGGGTTATTAACAATTAGGATGAGGGATTCCTGTTGGGGAATTGAGTTCTAGCTTTTAGCTCAGTTGGTGGAGCATGTCTCAGGATTAATTACCATCAGAATGAGGGATTTCTGTTTGGGAATTGAGTCCTAGCTGGTGGCTCAGTTGATGAAGCATGTATCAGGGTTTTTAACAATTGGGATGATGGATTCCTGTTTGGGAATTGAGTCCTAGCTGTTAGCTCAGTTGGTGGAGCATGTCTCAAAACACTTGAGTGTCAGAGCAGATGTCTAAACAATGTGATAGGTCTCTAGACTGGCAAAACTAAAGCCAAAGTATGTCAACTGTCTATGGATACCTTTAGTCCAAATAATCCAGGAAGTCCAGCTTTCCCAGGAGATCCAGGCTCACCAATTTCTCCTCGCTCTCCTTTATCACCCTAATAACAAAAGATCCAAATATTTAACTTTGGTCACCTGAGAATTTCAACTCATTTTTTTCATATTTTATTAAAACATATAGCTTACCACCAGGTTACCTATTTACAATCTCTAAAACTTCTTTATTTTGTCTTGCGAGATTCTTGTGATTAGTTATATACAATTTCTCAACAAAACATAAGTATTAAACTCCTAAGATGTCACACCCCCTTACCTGAACTATAAAGTTCATGTAACCACAGAAAACTATGTTATTCCATAATTAGTGATGGATATTAACTCTTGTAACTAAAGTCTTGGAAAAAATTTTATATGTACAGTTTTGAGATGAATGTTTGTTTGTTTGAAGTTAAGCACAAAGCTACACAATGGGCTATCTGTGCTCTGCCCACCATGGGTATCGAAACCCAGTTTCTAGCGTTGTAAATCCGCAGACATACCGCTGTGCCACTGGGGGGCTTGAGATGAATGAAAAATAATGAACACAGAAACAAACATGGATCTCGAGAGTCTCTTCTCAGAAATGTCCTCTACAAGAAAAAGGCTGAATATTTTTACACAGAAACAAGTCACATATTCTTATACTTATTATTTATCTATAAACAACAAAAAATAAAGTAGAAGGTTATTAAGACATACAAACCTTTGGCCCCATTGGGCCAACAATGGATTCCAACTCTTCTACAGATAAACTAGGTCCAGGTGGTCCAGGAAGACCAATTCCTGGTGGACCTATATCTCCCTATAAAAAATGAGCATATATATATATAAAACAGGAATTTAAACTGGATTTTGATAGTTAATTATTACTACTACACTACTATATAGGAATTTTGTCTGACAAATCACTTTTTATATATTAAAAAAATAATATATCTGTAAGAGTTAAAGATTCTTTAAATGAATGAACCAGATGTATGACCAGGAGATTACTAAAACATTTATTTCATTGTAATTTACATGAAAGATCTTCACCCTTAAATGTATAAATAGTACTTATATGTGTAATTCTTTTTTTTTCATATACAACACATTCTCATGTGTTTAGGAGTTTGAACTGTAGTGTCTCCACTCAAACTTCTGTTATAAGGTTTTTAGTTGACTACGAGTTAAATAATCTTTAGACATGTGCTCTTCTATCTAAAGTGACTGTAATACCTCTTGAGCAACGTTTAGATGTACTTGTCTCTGTGGTTCCTCATGCAAAACTTTAAATGTACATATTTCTATTTAAATCAACAGTAACACCTTGTCATTCAAAATTTAGACATACACGTTTCAATCTAAAGTGACTGTAATACCTCTTGAGCAACGTTTAGATGTACTTGTCTCTGTTGAAAGTGCAAATTTTAGATGTACACACTTATATCTAAAGGACACACTGTGGCTCCTCATGCAAAACTTTAAATGTACATATTTCTATTTAAATCAACAGTAACACCTTCTCATTCAAACTTTAGACATACACGTTTCAATATAAAGTGAGTGTAACACCTTTTCGTGCATACTATAAATGAACATGTTTGTACCTAAAGTGACTATATTACCCACTCATGCAGATTTTAAATGTACATATTTCTATTTAAATCAACAGTAACACCTTCTCATTCAAACTTTAGACATACACGTTTCAATATAAAGTGAGTGTAACACCTTTTCGTGCATACTATAAATGAACATGTTTGTATCTAAAGTGACTATATTACCCACTCATGCAGATTTTAAATGTACATCATATGTCAAAAATAAAATGGTGATCAGTGGCACGTTCTGTAATTATACAGCCAATGTGATAGAACAGGTCGGTGTTCTATCCTCGAGGCTTGTAAAAAAAAACAATGATAATTAATGGAGCAATTCAAGTTGTCTTCCATGATGTCTTAAATTAATAATACTTTCCTTATTGTTAATTTTCCTCATCTCTTTAAACCCATCAGTGACTTAATTATTATACAGTTGACTTCACCCGTTCAAGAAATTACTCCATTTTTTTTTTAAGGTTTAGCACAAACTAGTCATACAGAACACACAACAGATTCTCAGATTTCCTGTGATTATGAGTCAGAAAATGAAATTATAATGGTGTTTTATATGTAAATGTGTCTTTAAACATGTTTAATTATTGTGCAGTGAATAATGGGGACACAGGTTTCTATTTAACTTAGGCCTTGGCATAACCAGAGATTTAATTGTTTGAAACACTTCATAAAATCTTTTAGTGACATGTGATACTTCTGTAAGAGAAGAGATGTATCGATGTATCATATAATAGATCTTTACATAGTATATCTTCACTACATAGAATACTTACTGGCAAATTATTAAATCTTTTGTTCGAGATTATTTAGATGTTTGAGCATCTGGTCTCTCTCTTATGTAGTTATCGTACTGATATGCAGTATTGACTCTTTATTTGTGCAAGGCCTCTGGACAGTTAAGAGACATTTCTTTGTCTATTTAAGGAATCATACTGATGAACAGAAGATGACTCCCATAATCACAAATGAAACATCTGTTGACGTTTAAGAAATATTTTTGAAAAGTTAAATTTTATGTGTCTCCAAACACAGTGCAATGTTATATTCTGTAATATGTACAAAAATGGTTATTTAAAAAAACGTAGATAAAATATAGCAAACGGCTTTGAATAGCCTTTCACATTTTTCTGATTTCTATAATATACAAATTCCACCTTTTCTCGGGAATCCCTTGAAAGCTAACTTACTGGCGATTTGGGAGCTCACGTCAACAGGAAAAACACATCACTGATTATGTGTGTGTGTGTGCAAGTCTTTATAATTAATATGTGCTGTTTTAATCATCTCTTTGATGACGAACTGTCTGGGTGTTATGAGAATATAAAATTTATTTTATCAAGAGAACAATAATGACAAATTGGTAAAAGATCATTTAACACCTAGTGTTACAAATATTTATTGGTAACATTATTAACAAGTTTAATTTAGCTCATTGATAGAGATTAGATTTATCAATATATTGTGATTATGTAAATTTAAGGCCAAGTGCTTCTTTACTATAATATATAGAACCAAACACAAAGTCAATGGTGCTTCGTATCATTTAGTTCTCAGTGTTACACTTAGTGACGGTTCTGTAAGGTAAATATATTTTAAAAGAAGAAGTGAAAATAATTTCTCTTTGCCGAGTTATGGCTTATTCTCACCCTGAGCTGTTGGACTTTGTAATATACAGACAAGAAAATCTATTATAATTTTTAAGTTATCTGTCACTTCAAGTAGTCTGTAACCACTCTTTCTGAATCCTTCTGTTCTTATATTGCATAGGCTAACTATTAATGGATACACCAGTGAATATCTTATACAGTTAACAAACTGTCTGATTACATAAATCAATGATTTTAAAATATAAAACACGTTTCCTGCTGTAGAATGAAATACATGGTATGCTCATCATTTCTTTTTTTTTATAATACATTTTTAATACGATTTATTTCAGCCATTTTGTTAACTGATGTAATTTCTATAATTTGTTTATCCTATGTGGTTTCTTACAAACAAAAATATTAATAATGAGTATATATATATGTTATTGATGGTTATTACAAACTTTGGATGAAACAAACTGATGAAACCCCTTGTCCTATGCTCTTTTACTTGTATTTGTGGTTGAGTTTTTATTGGTAGAGTATTTAGCAACTTCTTGACAAGAGGTTTGAAAAGTGGCAATCCTTTAGAAGTGTTGTTTTTGTGTTTATGTCATATTTCAACTAATAAGAGATACACAATTGTGTATATCTGCATGTGTGTGTGTGTGTATGTTAGTTTTTAAAATTTTACTATAAATCTAGTTTTGAAAACCTAAGTTGTAACTTTAAGAGGTTTCCTTTGTAACCATATAAATTTAAAGAGGTTTCCTTTGTAACCATATAAATTTAAAGAGGTTTCCTTTGTAACCATATAAATTTAAAGAGGTTTCCTTTGTAACCATATAAATTTAAAGAGGTTTCCTTTGTAACCATATAAATTTAAAGATGTTTCCTTTGTAACCATATAAATTTAAAGAGGTTTCCTTTGTAACCATATAAATTTAAAGAGGTTTCCTTTGTAACCATATAAATTTTTATTTGACCTTTTCTCCTTTCAGCCCTCTATTTCCTGGTGGACCTTCAAGTCCTGGTGTTCCATCAGATCCAGGAACTCCTTGTTCTCCTTTTCCTCCAGGTTCTCCATAATAACCCTAAGATAAGAAAACCTGAATTGTTCAGCAGATCGAATAAAAACTTTAATTTCTTCATTATATATAGTTGTGTGGTATATTAACGATTTTAAAATATAAAACATGTTTTCTGTTGTAGAATAAAATATATTGTATGCTATGCCATTCCCTTTTAATTATACAACACATTTTGAATACAGTTTCTTAAAGTAATTTCCTATTAATTGATGTAATTCCTTTAATTTTCTTTTATCATTTGTGACTTCTTATAAATAAAAATATTAACACACACACAACTGACTATTTTTATAGCTCTTAGCTTAGATTTGAGAAACTGGCTAGACAAGTGAATATTTCAGACATATATTGAAAAACAATAAAAACAACTAAAGGAGCTCACAAATAACAATCAGATCTTTATTTACACGCAGAGAAACCTAGAACATATATTTCACTAGAACAAATGTGATGCTTCAAGATTAAACTCTAGTGGTAATTTAATCAGCTTGGTGTTAATATATTAAAAATTATAGCGTTGTTAAAAACACTTTATCAAAGTGTTATGTGATAACTAGTGTGAGTAGATTTAATTAGAGGAATTCTCTCCCAAATATTAAAAATCAGCATCCAAAAACAAAGAGACAAAAGTCAAAGCCATTCCCCATTAAAATTTAGATCATAGTTAATCCTTTAACCCTGTAGTTAAAAATAAACAAAATGAGGATTTTATCTCTGTCTCAATTTGCATCTTTGGCAATGTCCCAAATTCATGACACAGTGACACACATTCTCTGACTCCTTAACATGCATGTTGTGGCAATGGTTGAAACTCACCTAGTGTGGTGAGGTACCTTCTGTCTCATTAACATGCATGTTGTGGCAATGGTTGAAACTCACCTAG